GATCCTGGCTTAAGAGATCTATAGTATCTTGGGATTCTTCTATAATTCTAAAATTATTTCAAAATTAAAAATCTAAAATATGGAAAAGGAAGTTATTGGATAAGGATGAAAATTGAGACTCTGAGCTCACTGCTCTGATGGTTGTACATTTGAGGCCTGGCCAATGAGATTTGCTGGAAACAGAAGCTGGACAAAGGGATTGCTAAGAAAGGCCTGTAAGAAGCAAGAGGTCCAAACGGCAGATCTGAACTGAACCCCAGCAATCAAGCCCTATGAGGTACAATGACATTGAGTGCTCTCTGGTCAAATCTGGTCTTTGCCTACTGGAGAAGCTTCATTCCCAGGGCCAGTCCAGAAATAAATAGACACTCATCAACTTGCATGTTTCAAGGATTCAAACCAAATAGGTCCTCAAGGGATCATGTTAGGGGAGAAAAGTGGTGCATATTTGGGCAGCTTCTATGTGGGGAGATGAGGACCAGTGACTCAGTGATCCCTAGCCCTGCTGGGAGAAGTCCAGAGCACCATCTGTCCACAGCAAAGACCCTGATTTTGGGTTTGAGGGTGACATCAGATCATAGTGAAATAAGAAGGGATGGGCCATCGAGTGTTACTTGGAATGTGATCAGACATAAAGTACATAATGTTGGAAGAAGGAAGACAGAAAGGCAAGTTCATCTTTAATCTCCATTAAAAGCTAAGACTATAATGTAAACTTGAGTCAGAAAACTTGGTTCAAATCCCAGTTCTGCCACTAAAATTGCTGTGACCTTGAGTAACTTTCTTAACCCTAATGGGCCTGTTTCCTCTTCTGTAAAGTGGAATGAAATACTATCTACCTTAAAATATTGTCAAGAAAAAAAAATATTGGCAAGAGATTAAATAAGATAATTTAAGCAAATAATTTAAATTCAGTGCCTAGTAAAATATGACTTCTCTATAATTATATTTTTATCCTGTGAGAAAAATGAAAATAACCCAACTTCCTGAACACTGAAGAAATATGAATTAAGATAACTATAAAGAAAGTCTGGGTTGTTATTGTTAGGTGTCATTGAGTCCACTTTGACTCATACCAAGCCCATGAACAATGGATCTGAACCTCGCCCTACCTGTGCCATCCTCATCATCTCTGAGAAAATGTAGCTCATTGTTAACAGTCTCCCTTGTTGAAGCTCTTCAACAAGTCTCTCAACAATCCCTCTTCCTCTGACTCTCCATCTTTCCCTGCATGACATCTTTTCCCAAGGACTGGCCCCTTCTGACAACAAGCCCAAAGTATGGTAGGCCAAGTTTCAGCGTCCTTGCCTTTAAGCAGCAGCCTGCTTGCACTTCCTCCAAGACAGGCTTGTTTGTTGGCAACACAGAAAATGACTACCACACACTGCTAACAGAAAGAAGCCAAGGACCAAACACACCAACTCAACCCTGTGTGAAACAGATCCGCAGGAAAATTATTAGAAAGAAACACACCAAAATACTAAGTGGTTGCGTCTGGAGTGGATGAGAATGGACATACAGGTGACTTTTTCTTCATTTCTAAAATTTTCTGAAACTAAATGAACATTTAAAATAAAAAAATTTTATTTCATAAAAAAAAATTCCCCAAAACCACAGCAGAAACAATTGGGTATAACAACAGTTGGCGCATTTATGTTCTGGTCGTTTTTTAACGATCCTCAGCAGTATTTTGTTTGAGTGTGATATTAATGATATTGTTCGATCATTTCCACATTCAGCTGGATCACCTTTCTTGGGAATTGGGAATAAATATGGATCTCTTCCAGTGAATTGGCCAAGCCGCTGTTCTCCAGATTTCCTCTTGTAGACTGGGAAGCCTGTCCAGGGCTGCATCTGTCATTTGAAACATTTCAGTTGGTATTTCATCGATTCCTGGGACTCTGTTTTTTGCTGATTCTTTTAGTGCAGCTTGAAGTTCTTCCTTCATTAGCATTGGCTCTTAATAATATAGTATTTATTGAAATATATCAGTGTCGACCAATACTTTTTGATACAGTGACTCTCTCTGTGCATTCCCTCCATCTTCTTTTTATGTTTCCTGGATCATTTAAAATTTTGCCCATGGCATTCACAAGTATTGTAACTCAAGCCTTAAATTTGTTTTTTAGTTCTTTTAGCTTGAGGAGTGAGTTTTTCGCTTTCTATTCTCCAATTCTAGGTCTCTGCACATTCCATTATAGTAGTTTGTTTTGTCTTCTCAAGCTGCCTTTTGAAATCTTGTGTTCACCTGTTTTATTTCAACATCTCTTCTCTTTGTTTTGGCTTCTTGATGCTGTAATGTAATTTTCAGGTTCTCTTCTGACATCCATTTTGGGTTTTTTCATTCTTGTCTGTCCTTTGTATTTGGATATTAGTTTCTTGGTCTAGGTATGAGTTTGCTTTTGTTTTATTTTGGTTTTGTTTTTTTATTGGTATGCATATACCAGTATGCAATGACTAAGAAGGATAGAAGGAGAATTGATACCTTTGAGCTTTGATGCTGGAGAAGAGTATTGAGGGTACCATGGACTGCTAGGAAAACAGATTCATCCTGGAAAGGGTTAAACTGGGCGGATCCTTGGAGGCAAGGATTCTGAGGCTCCATCTAACATACTTTGGACATGTTGTAAGGAGGGACTGGTCCTTGGAGAAGGGCATCACGCTTGGGAGGGTGAAGGGACGGACAGTGCAGGAGGGGAAGGCCCTCTATGAGATGGATTGAGTCAGTGACTGGGGTAATCGGGATGGGTGTTGGAGACAGTGCGATTGGCACAGGATAAAGCAGGATTTAGGGCTTTTGTACATAGGGTCGTTATGAGTCGCAAGCGACTCGACAGCACATAACAACAACAACATGCATATAATTACTCATATACATTGTATTTCATTCATTTACATAGTGAGGTTTTTTATGTGTGTTTCACACTTTGTTGACATTATGTTTAAACAATCATTCCCGTACATTGTGTTTTAGAATATTGATCCCCATTGGGCTATGCCCACAATTACCCCATCACTTCAGGTCCCTGCTGGATTTTTCTCATTTCCTTCACCCACCAAACTGTGCAATCTGTGGTTTCACCCCTACCCACCCTCACCCCTCGGCTGCCACCCCTTCCCCACTTGGGTCCCCATACATGTTTTACTAGTTATACTATTTTTATAATAATGGTCTTACACAGTATTTGTCCTTATCGGACTAAGTAAGTTCCCTCAGCATAATGCTCTCTTGTCTCTCCCAATTTATGCAGTATTTTTCAAAATTGTTGCTTCTGAGTGCTGTGTAGCATTCCATTGTGTGAATGTACCACAATTTCTCAGTCCATACAATTTTAGTTGGCCATGTGGGCTGTTTCCATGATCTTACAATGGTGAATAATGCTGTTATGAGCATTGGTGTGCAGGACAGTTCTAATTTCCTTGGGGTATATTCCTAGTAGTGGAATAGCTGGGTCATACAGAGTTTCTATGTTCAACTTTTTGAGAAAATGCTAAACTGTCTTCCAGAGTGGTTCTACCATTCTATGATCCTCCCCTCCCCAACAGTGTATGATAGTTCCCATCTCTCCACATCCTCTCCAACACTTTTTGTTTGCTGCCCTGCTAGATGTTGCCACTGCTTCTAAGGTAAGATAGTTTCTCATTGTGATTTTGATTTGCATCTCTCTTATTACCAGTGATTTTGAGCATTTCTTCATGTGTCTTTTGGCCATACAAATGTCTTCCTCTCTGAAAAGTCTTTCCATGTCTTTTGCCCAATTTATAATTGGGTTATCAGCCTTTTTCTTCTAGAGGTCCAGGAATATAAGCTTTTGTTATGAGACTCTTGTCTGAGATGGTTTTGCTAAATATCTGTTCCAAGTAAGTAGATTTTCTTTTCACACTGTTGAAAAAAGGTTTTGATGAGCACAGAGATTTAATCTTTAGAAGGTCCCATTCATCAATTTTATCCTTTTCAGATTGTGTATTTCTGG